CCGATTTGAAATATTTCTACCGAATTATTACCGTACCCTACCGAAATATTTTGATAGGGCAACGTCACTCAATATTATTAAAATGGTATTACCCTACTGTACTGAAATATTATTAATAAATAAAATTTTATTTTAATAATTAATTTATTATATATAAAAAGTGAACATAGTATCCATACTAACTACTATTAGTTAAAATTAATTATACTTTTTAGGTATGTCAAATATATTTTAAATTGCTTTCATTAATGATGATATAATTGATGTTATAGTTTTTATGTTATAATTTTATTTACAAAATATTTCATATTAGGTAAATTAAGAACACATATTTAAAATACTTATATCATAAATACTAGTTTTGAGTATTTTAAACATGTATATTACTTGAATTGCTTTGAAAAAATAATATTCAATTAAGATTTAAATAATAGATAACATAAATTTGTAATTACCATTGCCATACCCTACCGTACCGAGATTTTGATATACCGCTATACCAAAATTTTTGGTTGTGCAATGATAATGAATTTGATAATATCGAAATTTCCGCAATGATAGTAATTTAAGGGGTTTGGTACGTTTGCCCTACCAAACCCACCCCCTACCCCTAGGTTAAGCAAATGAATCATCCACATGAGTCTGCCACGTTTCATCAACGGAATGGGAATCCGATTTTCTTCATTTTTCGTCTGACCCCTATTTTAACAAGTTAATATTTGCAACTTGTAAACTCAAAATTGATGATGTAATAACTGAGATTTCTGACGTCATCGCTCTTCTTCCTCTATATATACACACACCACCCAACCTACACAAAACATCCATCACTCTACTTTCAAACTCTCTTCTTCTTCTTCCCCTAGTCGTTATGGCCCATTCTGGTAAACCAGAAACAAATGGTGCCCAAACCCGTTTACCCATACCCGGTTTCGACCCGCCTAAAAAACCCAAGAGAAACATGTACGCTTTGGCTTGTTCTTTCTTAGCTTCCATGACCTCCATTTTACTTGGATATGGTAATAAGCCTTCCTTCTTTTTTCTTCATAATTTATATAATTATATTACGTCATTATTACTAATCACATGATTAATTCAAACTAATTATCAATGCAAAAACCCAATTAATTTAAACAGATATAGGAGTGATGAGTGGAGCAATAATCTACATCCAGGAAGAATTCGGCATAACCTCCGTCCAAAAGGAGGTGGTGATGGGTATTCTCAACGTCTACTCCCTCCTCGGCTCCGCCGCCGCCGGCCGTACCTCCGACTGGATCGGCCGCCGGTACACAATCGTACTCGCCGGAGCTATATTTTTCGTCGGCGCTCTGCTCATGGGATTCGCCACAAACTACGCATTCCTCATGGTCGGCCGCTTCGTCGCCGGAATCGGCGTGGGCTACGCTCTCATGATTGCTCCGGTGTACACTGCTGAGGTGGCACCAGCTTCCTCCCGGGGGTTCCTCAGTTCTTTCCCTGAAGTGTTCATCAATTTTGGTACGCAGTAACTTCTTTTTACTATTTTTTTTTTAATTTCGAGTTTATTTAATTGTCGGTAGTTTATTCTGTTTTTTTTTTGGTGCACATGAAATCTCCAGTTCGTAAAGTAACACGATTGGTTGGTTGTGATTTATTTATTTATTAATTAATTTGTTGAAGATTATATTTATAGGACAATCAAAGATAATATTTTTATATAATTTATTTAATTGATGAGAACAATAATTGACAGAGATGGACACTTATTTAATATATATATTGTACACATGTATGTAAAATCTACATCACGGGTTCCAGAATTTTAGGTTGTGCCCACAAATTTGAAAGCAACGTGCATTGTTTCTTACTCCTACCCATACAGCCAGCCTCACGACAAAGACATATATATATATATATATATATATTCACATAAAGATCAATTAAATTTATAAATAGCAAATATTATTTTAATTTATTTTATTCAAATATGTCAATTGCTAAATTAGTTTAAAGTTACTTTTTTCTTGTTTTAAAATTAATGTAATATTAAATCATTTAACCATTTTGCAGGCTCGGTTATGTCTCCAACTTCGCCTTCTCCAAGCCTCCAGAAAACATCGGTTGCGGATTCATGCTCGGA